GGCTGGCTCTGGGGGTGCCTGGGGTCCCAGCCCCTGCCCCGTGCTGCAGACGGAGCGTGCCGAGGAGGGCGAGGCACGCCGGGGCGTCAGGAGGAGCGAGTCGGTGGAGAAAGCCCAGGTGAGGAGCTTCCCCGGGGCAGGGGGGGCTGCCTGGGCCCTGTGCCCCCCGTTCCTGAGCCCTGAGTGGCCCTGTGCCCCCTCCCCGGGCAGGAGGCGGCCACGCTGATCGCGCAGAGAGCCGTCAACCCCCGCGACATCTTCAAGCAGAGGGAGAGAGCGGGGCCGGGGGACACGGGGCTGCCAGCACAGCCAGGTACGGCTGGGGACACGGGGAGGGGATGGGGACACAGCCAGGTACGGCTGGGGACACGGGGAGGGGATGGGGACACAGCCAGGTACGGCTGGGGACACGGGGAGGGCATGGGGACACAGCCAGGTAGGGCTGGGGACACGGGGAGGGGATGGGGACACAGCCAGGTACGGCTGGGGACACGGGGAGGGCATGGGGACACAGCCAGGTACGGCTGGGGACACGGGGAGGGGATGGGGACACAGGGGCTGGGGACACGGCCTGGGGACAGGGCAAGGAGTGGGGACACGGCCTGGGGACACAGCCAGGGGACAGGGCAGGGGCTGGGGGCACAGGGAGGGGACAGGGCAGGGGGTGGGGACACGGCCTGGGGACAGAGCAAGGGCTGCCAGCACAGCCTAGGGACACAGCAGGGGCTGGGGACACAACCTGGGGACAGAGCAAGGGCTGGGGACACGGCCAGGGGACAGAGCAGGGGCTGGGGACACGGCCAGGGGACAGGGCAGGGGCTGGGGACACGGCCAGGTATGGGATACTGAGAAGCCCCAGCAGGCAGCTCTCAGCACACTGCTGTTCCCTGCCGGGCTGTGTCAGGCTCCAGACAAGTTTTAATCACAAAGACAACAGATTTCCAAGCTCTGTTTCTCCTTCTGAGCCTTAAAGTTATTTATTTTTTTTATTTAATTAGAGTTCGATCTGTTCACACCAGGAAAACATCATTATTGCAATCTGTCCCAGCTGAATGAAATCTCACCCAAATTTTTTGCACTGCCCCAGCCAGGCAGAGCCTTGTGCTGTCAGAAGAGCCTGATCTGATCTCTGTTCAGATAGAAATCAGGAAGTTTGCAAGGCAGAGCTGAGAGCAGCTGAGGAAGTAGCTGTGACGGGCGCGTGACACCCCTGGGTGGCTGCCTCTTCCTCCTCCTCCTCCTCCTCCTCCTCAGCCCAACCCCCTCTAAAGCACCTTGGATTGATCCACAATAATGACTTTCACTTGCTGATAGGAGCAGGAGTTCTACTTCCTTGGGCATGGGTAGGAGAGGAGGGGATGCCACGCTGGGAAAATGGCTTTTGTGATGGTTGAAAATCTCTTTTTTGATAATGAGGAGATACTGACTTGGAGGTGTTTCATTAGGATTCCATGGTTTTCACGGAGGAAAGGGGGATAAATGCCCTGGAATTGATCAGAGATAAGAGGAGGCAGTGCTGGTGGGGCTGGTCTGGGAATTGTCCTCAGCTTTTGTTTGGTTTGGAGGTGGAGATGAGGAGATAGCAGCTCAGTTCCCTCCTGCCACAGGAAGTGCCCTGGCAGAAGCCAGTTTGCATCACCCCCTCCCAGTCTGGTGTCTGTGGACTCCGGGTGCTCCCAGGGTCAGCCTGGAGAGCCAGAGGCTCCAGCTCTTCCTCCTCCACCAAAACATTTCTTTCTTTTTTTCCATTTCCCCCTTGCCTGCCGCTGCAAACCAGTTACCAAACCCGTTTTCCTAAACCAGGAGCTGGAAAATCCTGCCTGGGCGGGCGAGGCGGCAGCGTGTGGGTGCAGAGCTGGGCTGGGAGCCCCTGCCTGAGCAGCCCCCTCCCCTCTCTCTGCAGGGAAGCTGCGCAGCCCCTTCCTGCAGCAGGAGCTGAACTCGGTGCCCAGCCCTGCCTCCCCCAGCCGGGATCTCTGGGGGTCCCCCCCGGCCTCCCCCGTGCCTGCAGCAGGTACCTGCTTGGCTCCCTGCTCTCCCCAGAGCTTCTCTCCTCGTTTTGCCAGCTGCATCTCACAAAATCGGGCGTTTGGTGTGGAGGTTTCCAGCTGGTTTTCCCCTGGGGGCTTTGCCTGAGCGCGATGCTGAGGATGAGGATGGTTGCTGCCTGTCCTCAGCTCAGTGCCAGGGGGATGGGGATGTCTGCTGCTGGGATTCGGGCTGGAATTTGGCTCTGTGCACCCCCAGCCTCCCTCCACAGCTGCCACAGGGGCTGGGACAGGCTGGGACTTGTCCAAGGTGCCCCAGGCCCAGCCCAGGTGGCTGCACCCCCAGCCCCAGGGGCTCCAGAGCTGCTCTGGGCTCTTTCCCTGTGCCAGTGAAGCACACAGGGAATGCCCAGGTGGGAAGGGATATCCTGTGAGGATGGGAGACCCTGGCACAGGTGCAGTGCCAAGGGCAGGCTGGACAGGGTTTGGAGCCCCTGGGGCACTGGGAGTGTCCCTGCTCAGGGCAGGAGTGATCTTTCAGGTCCCTTTGAGCCCAAATCATTCCAGGATTCCATGTGCTGGCTTAGACTGGATGTTAGGGGTGAGCTCTTGCCTGTGGGGTGGTGGGAGCCTGGCACAGGGTCTGCCCCTGCACCCCTGGCAGTGCCAAGGCTGGGCTGGGCAGGGTTTGGAGCCCCTACACCCCTGGCAGTGCCAAGGCCGGGCT